ATATAAATTTTACGATTTTTTTAACATGGGACTTTGATGGCAGTGTTACCCGTGTAAAAGAGTTAGAAAACATGCTACAAATATTGTTCTTCGCAAAAAACGGTCACTTAGAAGACGGAAGAGCAAACTTCATGTAGGAAAACATGTTGGTTTCTTGAAAGGTGAGTATCTTCTTCAGACATCCTTTAAGTAAAAAAGAAGCATTCATTTATAATCCAACAGATGCCTTTGTACAAATTGTTAAATGCTTGATTTTGATATCTGAACAGCGATGTTGATGATGAATGAACAGAAAACACTGGAAGAGGCTGAAAAGGCGTATATGAAAGTGCATGAAATGCAAGAAGATGTAAGGAGGTCAGAAATGGTAGCCATTGTTAAACGACAAGAAGCTCAAGCTCTTATGGAGACTGTATAAGCTCGAGCAGCAACCACTGGGTTTTCTTGCTGAGTGGGCCAATAGATCATTCTTTTTCCCAGTTAACAGAGGGAAGTATATTATTGTAGAGCATATTATTTAATATAATGCTATGTTTTCTGATGATGAAACCACACAACGGGTTTTGGTTTCTGCCAAAATATGAAAAAAAAAAAAAAAAGACGCAGGTTTTTTTAAGGGTGCATAAACAGGATGGTTTTGGAACCTGGGGAATTATATTGTTTATGTTAAGGAAATGAATAGTTTGTGTTTTATTTTTAGGTTTACATTGAATTCTAAAATTATTTTTAAATTTTGCATTGGGTTTATATGCTGGTTTCTCATTAGTTTTTAGCGTGCACAGAGTCGTTCTAGAGTGGATGCAGGTCATATGTTAACGGAGAGAAGGATAAGATGGATATTGTTATTTGATTTGCCATTCGATTTCATCTTCCTTTTTTGAGTTCTTGGTTGAAGCCTTAATCCATCTTCAAAACTTTAGCAATTGGTTTGGATGAAAAGAAAATTGATTTCATCGCCTTTTTCCAGGTTAAAACCTCATTTTTTTGGCTTCATCTTCAGCCTTCCGTTTCGTGCTTGACACCTAAAAATTGATTTCATCTCCTTTCTTTACTGGGTTTAAGAATCTTCATTTTGTGTTGGATGAATAAGCAATAAAGAACACATGATTTTTCATTGGCAATCACCTATTCCAGTGCCATCAATCGACAAGATGTTGACCATAAGTGGTAGCAGAGTGGCGATAAGGGGGATAAGACATGATTAAGTTTAGGTTTGTATTATTTTCAAGTAAAGGTATTTAAAATTTTGCTTATATTTTTAAAATCTGAATGCAGATGTGTATCTTGCTGGGACAGTTATGCTGATATTTGCAGTGGGTTTGTACGGATTATTCATCAATAACGCACCAGATAGTATAGCACCAGAGGATGATCGTGCTATAAAGGGTTCTTCCCTATTTGGGATGTTTGCTTTGAGAGTAAATTCTTTTTTAGCACTTTTTACTTTACATTATAGCATGATTTTGTACTACAGTGTTTGAATAGGACAAGACAGAACATGGTACTGTGTTTGACACTGACACTGACTCCAATGCCAATGGGACAAAAAGATGTACCAAAAGGTTGTCATGTCGGATGTAACAAACACAGCCTAAATAGTTTATTTGTTTAAAAGATGTGGGGATAGATAATTAATTAATATAGTTTAACTGGATTGAAGGAGCGACCTAAATGGATGAAGATAAGTTCGCTTGGTGAATTGAAGACAAAAGTTGGTCATGTAATTGTTATGATTCTTCTAGTAAAGATGTTTGAGAAGAGAAAAATGGTGACAATTTCGACTGGTTGGACTTGTTAAGCTACTCCATTTGTATATTCTTGTCATCTGCTTCTTTCTTGTATATATATATATATATATGATTCGAATTATTTTGCATCAAAGTTATCTTTCACTTTATAATTTATATTGATTGATACAAATCATGTATTTCAGAGTGGATTCGTGGGAAGGATCCATCAAGAGTTGTACACTATGAATATTGGGAAGCAATCGATAGCACATTTGGTTTGCAAGGAGGGTTTACTTGGGATTGGGTTGACTAGGTTTGAAACTCATCTCTTAAATTTTATAAAATTGTAAATGTGGTGCAAGGGTAGTTCTAAATATTTGCAACTGGTTTCAGGGGTTCCTCAAGGAAAATGCAAATGGTAGCAAATACTGGGCATATGGAGGTGACTTTGGAGATACACTAAATGACTTAAATTTCTTCTTAAATGGTCTCATATGGCCTGATCGGACTCCTCATCCTGCTCTAAATGGTGATTGCTATAATTTTTTTGCTTAGTATTTAGGTTTCTGTTTAGTTATTTCCAACAAAAATGTTTCCACATGTGCTTTCTATATAGCAAATGTTAACCTTGGTCTTTGTGTTTTGTGTTCATAGATTACAAAACCAATTTCTTTCAAACAACAGAAGATCTAGAGTTTAATTGGGCGATTGAAGGTGATGGATGTAATCTTGATTCTGGAACTCTCAGTCTACCAACATTAGAGTTTAATTGGGTGATTGAAGGTGATTTTGGTTCTTGAAACTAAACTCAAGAAATCATATTTTGGCATCGCTATAAGCTTTAGAGGAAACGAGACTCCAGCAAAAGTAAACACACAGAGAGTTGTTGGCACATAGTAAGCTAGATGATGCAATTGTATATAAATGAGTTCATTTTTTTATAACATTTACTCACTTTTGGATTAATTATTTGTATTTGACATATTAGTGAAAAAATTATCTTTGTTATTTATGGTATTTTATTTTGTATTATGAGATTTTTAATGTATTATTTAATTTGAAAATTAGTAAATCTATATATAATATTTTTTTTTAACATTTAAAATTATGATACGCAAAAATGTGTGTCATCTTCATTTATGACATGACCTTTCTTGACATGGGCTTTCTTGATACGCATAGCGTGTCATTAACACGCGCGTCATAAGGTTATGACACGCGAATGCGTGTCGTCTTCCTTTATGACAAGGCCTTCCTTGATACACATTGAGTGTCGTAAACGCACGTCGTAATTCTGCATCGTAAATGCGCGTCATCTATAGACTACGCGCAAAAGCGTGTCGTCTCTCTTTATGACAGGGTCTTCCTTGACGTGCATTTGCACGTCGTCTGAGCCTTTTACGACGCGCAATGAGCGTCGTAAAAGGTTGTTTTTCTAGTAGTGGAATTTGATGCATATTTGATCGAATTATGAGTGAAAATCGAAAATTTTGACTTTGTAGGGTTTGACTCGCCGAGTCATATGGTGAACTCGACGAGTCCAGGCTAGACTTAACGAGTCAAATGGTCTGGCAGCGTATTTCTCGCGATTTTCTTGCTGTTTTGGCTTGGGATACTTACCATAAAAGTTTTTAATTAGTAAAATCCAATTTTTGTTGAATTTGGGTGAATATCCTTGCCAAAATAGTAGATAATTGCCAATTAATCAAATAATTGTTGTCTTATAAGATAATGTTTAATTATATTAAGTTATTTGGTGAATTATCTTGCAAGTAATTGGACTAGGTCAAAATTAGATAACCAAAAATTAATTGTTAATTACCTTATTTGAATTGTTGATCTAGAATGTTCTTGATAAAGTTTGAAAAAGTTTCAATTTACGCCCTTTAGGTTTCATAGTTTAAAATTTCAACTTAATAGTTTAGGTTTTGAAATTTAAATAGTTAAACCATAATGTTTTGAACAGTTCAAAACTTGTCGTCATGTTTTGGAATTAATTTTTTTTATTAATAGTTTAATTATGTAATATTTAAATTCTAAAACCCTAGTACTTTGAAAAGTTCAAATTACACCCCTATGGTTTTATTAATTAATTAAAGAGTATGATTAAAAGAGACTTAATAAATCCATAATAATTTGGTTTATAGTATAATTTACTAAATTGGACCACCTAGTATTTTTAAAGTGTAAAATACACCATTATACTATATATAAAATTAAAAGTCTAACATTATATATATATATATATATATATATATATATATATATATATATATATATATATATATATATATATATATAATTGAAATGCTAGTCTTACCGTTAGTATGCCTCATTCTCGAAGCCGATCTATAAGGGGGTATAAAGTTATGGCTTATAAAATGGCCGTTTAATGGGTGTCCACTCTCACCCACCGCTTCCTTGATTAGTGGAGGGTCATTAGCCGAATGGGTAGGATAGGGTAAACCCTTTCCATTAAAAGTATAATGAAGTATAAAGTAACTAAATGTTTTTACAAAATTCTCAATCTTAGTTACTTTAGGCAAAAGTGAATTTGATGCAATTCCATGAAATTACACTTTGTACCCTTGCGAAGACGTTAGTGGGGCGTGTGTGGTTAACCGGCACACTAAATGGGTTCTAAGAAAAGGTAGCAAAAGGTGACTCAATGTTTGTCGTAGTTCGGTGGAGCGTGTGTGGTTAACCGGCACATTAAATAGGTGACTGTAACATTGGGGGCACCATGTAAGTTTGCATCATTATTCACACCCTTCTTTGTGATCCTCGGTATCCTAGTCACAAATCGAGGGGCATATCGAGATTTAAACATGCCATTGAAAAGTGCAATGAATCTCAAAGGATCTAGAAGTTTTTCAATACATTTAAAACCTAATCTCTTTTTCGTGTTTCATGGTGGAACATTAGTGAATCGTCATTCACTTACCTTCAAATGTTCTGCAATTTGGGTTACAACATCCCTCTCCCAAGTTGTAGAGTATTGTGTTGGGTCCTAGCCTTAATATCTCATTTGAGTGATTTATTAAGGACTCAAACAATCAACTAACTTGATTTTTCTCTCGTTTTGTAGATGTCTGAATCTAACCGTGGTCTTCCCGAATCCCATGGAAAAGGTTTTCCTGGTCAAAGTGAAAGTCTGTGACACAATAAAGGTGAAAGATCGATCCCTGCCTTATGGAATAGCTTGGTTTCACTTCCTCCACCTCCTCCTGTTGTTCTCGCAATCCCACAAGATTGAAGAATTGAAAAGTTCAAAATCACTCAAGCCCTGTTGGCAATGAAACATGAAGATGGAAAATTCATGTGTGCTCACGTCCTACGGATGAAATCACACGTCGATAGGTTGACAATGTTGGGTGCATCTTTTCCAAAGAAATTGGTTGTAGATGGGGTTCTTATGTCACTCCCTAAATCATATGATAAGTTTATAAGAGAGTATTATATGATGGATCTTGAGGCGACTCTCATTGACCAAACTTACATGATTTTTGCTACTAAATCAGAAATGATTTGGCAAAGTAATGGAGCATGTTTGTCTAGTAATTCAACCAACCATGCTTTTGTGGTTGCTCCAGGAGAAGCCACCTGTTTTTGCTGCCAAGAGAAGGGGTGTTGGCTACGAAGCTGCCCAGAGGACCTAAACAATCAAAGAGATGGGAGAGTCAAGAAGTATGGCTCTACTTCAGGTAAAATAAACTATCTAACTCCATGAAGTTCCTATTCATTGATTCTTAATACATAATGTGATAAGATTACATTTGAATCTTTTGCAGAATCAAAGAAAAGAGAGGAAGCTTAATGGAAGAGCAAGATGAGTCTGATCACGAAGAAATGGATCACGATCTCATGGATTCGAAGATCAGATTTTGAGCTTAGGAAGTTATGATAGATTTGTTAGGAATATTTGATTACATAGTTTTTCAGTTGAGTTTGCATTGTAAGGATGTGTTTTCCGCTGCTTTATGAATAAATAAATTTTTTGGTTTGTCTTATTTATATATATCCTTACAATGAAATTGTTGTGAGAAATTGATGTTTGTGTATTTCTATAAATGGATGTGATTCTTAGTTATGTTATTTATGGTAGTTTCATAATTTTTCTAAGTAATGAGAGATTTCCATCACCCAAGTTCCAATTAGACAGAAACTTGGAGTCATACAACTTGCATTGTGTGATGTATGGAAATCTTGGTACTTAGGTAATTAAGACTAATTCCTTGATCACACAAGTATGTGAGTCAAGTAAAGGACTAAAGGAATAGAACACAATGTTGTGCACTAGTCAAGTCCACCACAAATAACAATAAGAGTATTCATCATAATTTACTAAAAGTCTAGTAAATGTGGTTATACTTATAAGATTAAGTGTAATTCTGAATCATTGAAAAGTTTCAATGAATGGCAGAACGAATAAGAATAATCAATAAGACAGAAAGATAAAAGTTTCTTCAATCTAAGAAGAAGGAAGAGTACTTTTATATCGGGTTTTATGATCGTCTTAATGATTAAGAACTATATCACAATTAATCCTCTAAGGACATCTTAGTGCACTAGTATGGCTAAGAAGAGGAATCGGAAATTGTTGAAATGGTTAAATCAAAAGGATGGGTCATACTTCGTTCCAAAATCAAGTCTTAGAATCGTAGTCCAAGATTATGAATTGAGTAACACATCTTACGAAGATCTAACACACTCTTCAAATGTGACGAAGAAAAATTGTTTCTCTTACTCTTGCATGTTTGAAATTGGTGTATAGTGTTCGTCTTGATGAGAATCTACACTAACTCTTGAATATTTGTTTGTCAAGAAATGCTTTCTTGTCAAGAGGTCAGTGGGAGTTTAAATGATCTTGAAAAGTTTTGAGAACTAATCAAGAGTAAACCTATTATTAAACACTAGCACACGACTTGAGGTTTGTAACCCATCATGTTGACATATTCGTGTTTCTGTGCCATTCCGATTTAGTAAACTATACATATGAGTTCTACGAGTTCTTAATAGGTTGCATAAGGGCAAACACCTTGTTCAATGAAAGTACATTTACTGGCATAAGTGAGCTGCGAGATAACTTGGAAGCAATGGTGGGACCCTTGATGGTAAGAAATTAAGAATGAACAAGTTATGTCGATAAGAGTTTGAATTTTTCACAAATATTATCTTTCAATTATGGTTATGGAAAATTCACGTGAATAGGAACACATACACCATAAAATCTAAGTGTCATAAGGTTTCTCTCCTTCATGAAAATGACTATGAGGAAACGCTTTCACTAAGAGAGATTTTAAAAAGATAGCAATTATGTAAATTGAATTCTAAAATTCGATTATGATTAAGACATCGCTCTTCATAGTTCGAATTGTAAGATTTAACAATTAGTCTGAACATTTGGGACTTAGTAATATAAGTTCTAAAATAGTTTAGACAAACATGTGAGCTATCCAAGGG